ATGTTTCCACAAACCGTTGCAGGAATGAAAACACATCCTTAAAAATACTTAATTGATTCCTATCTATATTTTCTTTTTTTAAACCCTTTTCGTCTTGCGAATTTTATTTTTAAAAATATGTCTAACCTTTAAACCCCGATATGTGTTATGGTGTTTGAAAAAAAAAATACAAATCAGAATAACAGTGCAGATATAAATAATGGTGTTTTTAGCACTCAACATTGGAAAACAAAACTCTTTTCGTTAAGTTCCTTTTAAATGATTATATGCAGTAAAGAAAAGAGATTTATCTTTAGAATATGTGATATTTAACTTTAACGTTAAAACATAACATTGAAATAAAAAGTAACACCTGTCAGGCCTGCGAACATGGAATCATTGCGTTTTTTGCCACAAGTAAAATTTAATTAATTTTGATATATAGGAGGTATACCATAAGAATAGCTAGACTTCATGACCTATCTTGGCTCTCATTCTGACTCCTCCTCTTCCAGGCTGTAATGAGGTGAATCCAAGATATATGAAATGCAATGGAAAGAGCTACGTGTATACTTGGTTACATTAGTTGGAACATTTGTACAACAAACAATTCCCAGTTGCCATGAATCACAATTTAAGCAACAAAACATAAGTGTCCCCTCCCGGAATTTGGAATGCAACCGAACTGGCTTTAGGACACATAATCATTATTTGTAGAAGGCGATGTTATCGATCGGTGTCATTGTTTACATCTCTCTCTCTCTCTCTCTCTCTCTCTCTCTCTCTCTCTCTCTACCCCCGCTCCCTCCTTAAATTTGAATATATATTTAGGATATTAGAGCGATGTTATCTTGAAAATGTATAAAGAAAATATGATGACACGCAACATTCAATTCGCTAAATTCTAAAAACGACAATCATACACACCCAAAGACATATTTTAGATGGAGGCCAGGTTGAAGAATACAATATAACAGTTTTCATGAGAACACTAGCAAGTGGATATGACGTGATGGATTTATATATTTAACAGGTTAATCGAAGTATTGAATATTGTATATTGGTTTACGTCCCTCTCGAGAATTTTTCACTCATATGGAGACGCCACTACTTGCCGTTGGAGAACTGCAAATATTGTCCTATACTCGGCACTCAGGGCCATTGAGCAGGGGGGGGGATCTTTTTCGTGCCAGCACCAACTGCGACACGGGACCTCAGTTTATACGGTCTCATCCGAAGGACCGGTCTCCGCGTCCCACAGTGGGATTCAGACCCGCGACGTAAGGTTTGACTCCTTACTTCGCGACTCTAGAGCAGACGCTCTTCTCCTTTCAATATGACAGTATTTAGTTTAATATACAATTGCAGTTGTTCTAAAGCACATCTGACAAACTTGTGCTGACTGTGCATTCATACGATAAAGACGCATGACCCTGATTATCTATTGATATTCAAGAAATCTTCAGGCTCCATGACTTTAATATTTATTTATTTAACTTCGAAAAGAGCGTTTAAAATTCATATCTGGCGTATGGGCCATAAAACTAAGACAAGCACACTTTTGATCTCAGTCTCACTTTTGCACTATTATTTCCTTTTGTAAAAGTGAGATTTTGATCAAAAGTGAGCTTGTTTTAGTTTTATTGCCCCCAGGTCGGAACCATATAAAAACACGGTTAAGATGTCAGGGGTTTATATTAATGGAAAAAAAGAAACTTGAATTTACGGAACTCTTTCTGGCCAGTTATGGCTACATGTATCCATTACTTGACGAAAGAAATATTCAATATGTCTGACGTCAAATATTAACTAAAGCTTATTTTCTCCATGAAATTAAAAAAAAGGAACAATAACATCCGTTAAAGGGAGAGTTATTTCGTTCAACATCAAAGCAGCGTTATGTGACGTCACAATAGCAACGTTTGTATTTACCTGCTGATTTTTGCAACTGTGATATAGGCTTGACATTGTTAATAATCAATAATGTACACAATTTACAAAAAAAAATGTTATTCATCATTAATAAGATTTTATTTGATTTATGGATTTTGTAAATATTAGATTTATCTGCCTTTGGTTGATAATTTATAGGAATTTCAGTTGTAAAGAAATACCTTGATAATATATGCTGATATGTAAGAGAAAAAAGAAAATTCAGCCAAGAAAGTGGCTTAATTTAATCAGGGAAATATGTTTAATTTTCTGTTAACTATTAATTGTATTTTCTCGATGAAATTTTTACCTCTATTTGCTTATTGATTTATAGTACATGTCAACTAAATTGTATAAAGTAATTCCTAGGTTTTTATAGGTGTTGTTTGTTGACGTGGAAATGGGGGTGGGGGCAGAATGTTTGGGATCAAGAAGAAAAGAATTAATATGTTTAAATTGTTACTAATCAAAACAACATACTCGTTTTCCGCAAAATAATTTATATTCAGATGTTTGTCAGTGCTTATTCATCAATTTTTAGTGCAGAAAGGTCAATATTTATGACACACGAGCCCGAAAATAAAAGAAAAAAAAATCTTTTTTGTTTATTCTATCATAAAGGTATATATTTTTCTTTATTAAAATGAAATGATAATTCATTTCAGTGGAAAATTATGAATTACAACATTTTCACACAAAGACTTTTTAAGATATTACCTATTATGCATGTCGACACGCATAATTTAAAAGTCCCGTGTCCAAATTCGAATATCTTATTTTTTTGGGGGGGGGGGGGGGGGAGGGGGACGTCAAGGGGGTTAGGTCAGTGTACCAACTGCTTTCAGTCCCAATTTTATTTAAATTGTAAAAAAAAAGTTGACAAGAAATATGAGCTGATACTTATATCGTGCCCCTTTATAGTTTTTCATGCGATATGAATTACAATAAATTTGCTTTTATTTTAAAGATACAAGCCAAATAAATTAAATACCTGTTGGTTTTAAATGTGATTTGATATTTTTGGTTCTTTTAGCGCATATTTGGGGAAGAATAATGTCTGCAAGTAATCGATTTTAAGCATTTTACACTGTTTTTGCACGTGCTCCTGTGTAAAAATAAGAATATAAAGGCATTGTTTATAATTCCTAAAATTTAAGAGCAATTGGCCAAGAAAAAAATGTCAAAGTTTTTAAAATTTCATACAAGACTTTTCGGATATAGGTCGCCCCTTAAAGCAGTTTTTGTAAAGTGAAATAAGCTAACTGGATAATACTTGCTAATGCATTAAAAATATTGGGGTTTTTTTTAGCGAAGCATAATCTTAGATGATTTGTACTGCAATATGTGACGATCAAATTTACCTACTTTTTTAAATTAATATCTTAAGTACAATGATAGCTGTTTTATCTGATATGCATGGGAAGACAAAGTACGAATGTATGTGTCGAAATGAACAAGGTATAGATTTGCAACGAGTTAATATCATAAAAATGAAACTGATGCAAGTGAGTTGAGGCCAGGTATAGGCGTTTATATGCAGATGAGCTATAAAAATGCATAAAATGCGTAAATTTTACACAACGAAGGTTCAGACTTATTTTCGTACATACATATCATAGGCGTCGGAAACGGAGGGTAGAATGGGCTTAGCCCCTCCACTTTTTCTGTCAATTATAAACCTAGTATAGACATTGAACATTGCTCCGTAGGTTTACCCCCCCCCCCCCCCCCCGCTTTCGACAGACACGTCGCAGTAAAGATTAAAAATGGGAAAAATGGTGGTGTTTGGAAAAAAATGGTACTGAAGTTCGTAACTACGATCAACTCCCCCTCCCCCCCTTTCCCCTCCATGAAATTTCCTTCTTTGTTTTGGCTTGTCAGGTTCTTTTGAAGGAAGATTTTTTTTTATACTTAGGCCCCCTTTCAATTTGCTTCCGACGCCAATACATACTTGGTACACACAGCATGATAAAGCAACTGCATATTATGATGTCTTATTATGACGTAATTCATCTTTTTCATTTAAGGTTATAAACACAACTACAAAACAACGTTCGCGCAAGGGCATTTCCTATTTTATTTTTAATAAATAAAAAGTTCAGGCAACTTACAACGGACACTAATTTTTTAACTTCTTTCAACTTAAAAATATTGAAATAGTAACAAAACAATTGCACTGTCGACATTTGTGCAGCAATATCATAGATCCTTGTATTGTTATGCATCTATTTATACTTTTTTCTGAAGATCAAATTTGGGTATGCCCTTGCACAGAAGCTGTTTTGTCGTTGTTCATTCTAAACCTGAGTAGTACAGGACTATGGCGTAATAATAGACGTCATTATGTGCACTGGCTAGCATGTAGTAGTGACAAAGTTTGTATAAGGAAGCAAGTTTAAACTATTTTTGCAATAAAACCAGCTCTTATGCGTTTTAATTAGATCATTACATAGAAACCTTTATACATAGCCTTTACGTTTTTTGCGGAATAATGGAAATCACAGTAAAACGTATTACCCATGTGTCGGATTAAAGAGATCCACTGTAATAGGTTTAACAATAAAGCAATCGTCATTCTTATTCTTGGTCCAGACATCTTTATTTCTCAGTGTTTGTAAATAAACACGAAACATTTCTCCTTTCAAATTTATTACAACACATATGATGTACATTTTTAACTAAATTCATCTTGTAGAAAAAAAAAAATTATTGTTTAAAAAAATAAATTCCCCATCTTTGCCAAAATCAAATGTGTTCATGAATTATGTCACTTTGTTTCAAACATTAATTAAAATAGATTCAAAATTGTGTCCTTTATCATAAATTCTTTCTTTGATTTATCTGATTGATGATCTGCCATCTGTTGAATAAAAAAAAAAAAAAGAATTAAATTAATGCTTCACAGAAAAAGCATATTTTGCAAAACAAAAAACAAAAGAAAAAAAAAAAACAAAAAAACAAACAAACAAACAAACATAAGAACTTTCACGGAAATATAAAATCCAAAAACAGTGTTATTAAGATTTAATGAGGTTATACCTAGCGCCGTCTTATCATCATTGTGGTCCCCCTTACCGACGATCCATACTCTACTGTAGGACGCCATGGTACGGACCAGTCTCCCGGGGACCAGCGCCGTTAAGGAAGGCGTGGTTACAGGCGTTAAACCACCAACCTCCTCCATTAACAGCAGCACAGTTACCAGTCCACCTGTCGTGGTCTCTGTCCGGGGTGGAGAAGTACATCCCAGACAGACTGTAGTCAGGATAACCAGTATCTAACATACTGTCTCCTGTAAAATTAAACAAAATATATGAGATAATGGAGTTATATATCATCAATTTAAATGTCACTAAAAATACTGGGGTACTTCTAAGATAGACGACTTTTAAAAGGTGCTGGAAAGAATGATAATATTAATTCAGTTCAGTCCTAAAATATTGGCGTCACTTGCACCTGCAGAATTAAAGACAATAAATTAACAGAGATAATAATCATTAATCTACATCACATTAATCTTAATACTGAAGTACATCTCACATACACAGTTTAACATGTTCTTCCTGTAAAGAGAGGTAACTAAAACAAATACAAGAAAACAAAACATTACAAAATATTTTCAAAACATGAGAAAAATGAAAATTATCATCTGTTAGAGACCGTGCCTTTAAAAATATATAAAATGCAATACGAAGTAAGTCATTCAGAATTATAACGAGATAAGTTAGCATGTACATATATATGTTTATGCCTTCCATTTATCTTATGCTAGACAAATGCCTGTATTGTAAAGAATGCGTGAAAACCAGTTCCCATTTGGTCCTGCAGCTTTATTAATTTTTACTTCCTTGAAAGACTACAAGACATTGTTTGATGAATTACATATATATGTTTTCAATATAAGATTTTAACGGAAGCTTATTTGTTATTACAGAATTGTTGAATTCGTTATAACCAATTCAAGAATTAGGTTAAAACGAATTCAACAAATCTGTAATAACAGATTAAATTTGTTATAACAGATTTAACAAATCTGTAATAACAGATTAAATTTGTTATAACGAATTCAACAAATCTGTTATAACAGATTAAATTCGTTATAATGAATTCAACAAATCTGTTGTAACAAATTAAGTTCGTTTTAACGAATTCAATAAATCTGTAATAACAAAATTAAATTCGTTATTAAGAATTCAATAAATCTGTTATAACGAATTCAGAAACATTTGTGAGGTCCTAATTAGGCTTCCGTAGATTTTCATTAAATAAGGCAAAGAAAATGTAATTATGAAATGCGTTGATTTTTTTTATTTAAATATGGATTTTTGCTGTAACTGTTTTTTTTTTTTTTAGAAATATATTTATCAAATGATTTTTTATCATTAAAAAATCGGGGTGGGGGGTGGGGGTAGGTGAGTCATATGCCAAGACGAATTTTGTCGCTCTATAACCATAGCGGAAATTTTGTAGTCGTACGATCTACCTAGACATTTAAATTTTGTACAGCACAATCCAAATGACAACATCTATAGTTTTAAACCTTGTAGTTGTCATTAAAGATTTTTTTTTTAGCATAGCTTTTCAGACTGTGTGTTTATTGTTCTATCAAATATGTTTACAGGGGTTGGGAGATGGTATGGTTTACCTTTCCTTTAAACTGTTGTTCCATACAGAACAGTCAAATAATGCTGGTCTACCCATGACTGTTTACATTTCATTATTTGTTTACAAAATATGATATAAAGACCCACTCTAAATAAAAAACACAAAGTCTATTTCTATCAGTTACGATTACTTAAGCGTGTTACCATTTTGAAGGGTTAATTACAATCAACTTTTAAGTCATCTGATTTAGGTTTTATCTTAACTGTATGTATATGGTCATAAATAATTTCCAAATTTAAGAAAAAATCAAATTTGTAAGAATTTTCAATTGATATTTTACCTGCCTTTGCGTAGGCATAAGATTGCCAAATCCCCCCAAATTCTTTTCGTAAACATTTTGACATTTAAGATTAATGACAACCTGTAAACTTTCTATTCCGTTGGAGTTAGAAATATGAATTTTTGAAAATTAGATTTTTCCTCATTTCATTGAAAATATAGTGGATGTAAAACACGTGTTTCTGATCATATAATTTTTTTTCAAACATACCATTTTTGCGAAGATGTCGATATTATAGATCAATAACATATATGTATTCCCCGTAAACTTCCTGTTCGTAATAGTTGAATTGTGAATTATCAAAAATTAACATTAAAAAGCTAGTTGAATAAGGGTGGTGGAGCAAATGTAATTACTAGATTTTTGTTGAAAAAAATTACATAATTGTCTTTGTATTTTAAATTTATAATTTAAAAATTTATCTACTTGACAATTAGAAATTCAATGTTTGCGAATTTCGTGAATTGTACCTGGAAATGATATTCTGAAACATTAAACATATTTAAAAGTCTGACAAATCGGTTTTATACTTTGATATTTTACTTGAAAAAGACGTTTATTGTAATCTAACAACCAAGCTATATGATAAACGTGATGACTTCAAAGAGGCTGGGTGGTCGTGGCCATTTTTAGACTATTTTGATCTCCTTTAGAAGAAGAGCTCCAAGCTCCATATAAAGAAGTAATAAAATAATCAAATTTCAAAAATAAATTTCAGGAAAATTTTCTTTGCCAAGTGATAGTTGACAGCTCAATGTATCATATCTAAAAATATCTGATGGTTAATGAAAAAAATAATCTGTTGACTCCCTAACCTCATTAACTTTTCTATCGTCAACTTCCATTACTTATGCAGCAATATACGAGGGTTGTCTGTAAAGTTCGTGGACAAGCTAAGAATTAAATAAAAGTTGCGTCATTGATATTTATTATTAGCATATTTCTAATCCTTCACTAATTGTGAACTGAGAAATGTAAAATTTGATTCAATTTCAAATGTTTATTTACAATAATGACTTTATAATTAGACGTGGAATGGAGACCCGGAGCACCGCAAAATTTTAATTAAAAAATTATTTATCACTTTATAAAATTTGTATTTAGTAAAATTCTGCAGAAATCTGGATAACTTTTACATAATGAGGTTGACAGAAGTTATCACTTAAACCCTGCAAAATTTGAATATTCAAAATTGTAAAATGGCTGAGCAATCAAAGTTAGAACATATTAAGACGGATCGGAATTTTTAAAAAAAGGGACGTTTTCGGAATAGGTGGAGCAGTGAGCAGTGATAAGACATCGGATAAACACCTACAGAGACAAATACATTATGTAAACAATCGGGAAAATATAGTAAAAGAAGCTGTACATTAGTATTTAAGTGGTATATAATATTTTCGAACGGAAGGAACTGTTTACAAAATGACATGCGTGAAGGAAGATCATCATTCCGAGATTGCAGTGCTGTAAAAAGAACTTCGTAAAGTGACTTTACCGTATTTCCGTTTTTAGGCTAGCAGAGGTTGGACGATTGCAGGATATGAGACAGGCATTGTTAAATATTATTTTACGTGTGACACCGGAACATTTTGTGCACATATTTATGACTGGTTAAGCGACATATAATAAATTTATTCAGTTAAACGGTGACTATATTAAGAAAATTTACATGTACTCCTATAATGCTCTTGACGCCGGGTAACGTCAAGAATTTTATTGTAGTGCTCCGGGTATGTGTATGTCTTTTTTTAACCTGTTAAAAATATAAATATTTGTGCCTTGTATCTGCTGAAAACTTGCAGATTTATAACATGAAACATGAATTTAATGAAAATAACAGTTTCATATATTATATCAATGTTTGTCAGTAATAATCAATGTTGTCCACGAACTTTACGGAGGAGCGTATTCTATGTATGAACAATTTCTGAAACAAGGTAAATTTTTAACAAGCAAGCTGATCAACTAAAAATATCAGCAGTCTCATGTAAAGACATCATTTCGTTAGTCGAAACAATGACCTTGTCAGCAAATACAATTTATCATTGAATGCTGACTGACGTTTTTCATACTAGTTTTTAGTTCATTATTTTTATAAAACTGGTTAACAACAGATTTTTTCCGTATTGATCATGTTCAGTAGCACACGACGGGTGTGGCCGGCTAGCAGGGGATACTCACTGCTCTATGGCACATGATCCAACTTCTGATATTAAAGAGGTCTATGTTTGCTCTGTTCCTTTTTTGCTCCTATGTTGTATTGTTTCATGGACTTTGATATTTGTTACTGTAACTTATCGTTTAAACCTTCTTTAATTAGTTTGGAATCAAAATAACGTACATGTATACAGAATATCAGAAAAAATACATCTTTATTTTCTGTAAATACCGGTAACTTGATAATCTTTCAATGCAAAAAAGTAAATTTTTTATAATATATGTAATATAAAGCCTATTTTAAGAACTTAAGGTGAATACACTTACCTAAGGTCCCCCCAGCAGGTCCCGCAAGAAAGAGTTGATATTTCTCTGTTTCGTCCGAGATAGAGAATCCGTCGTACATTTCATAAAACGTTGTTTGATCCTGGAGAGTGATGGAAACAAAAAGGGATGAATCTTTTCCCTTTGTTAACATATGGATAACGTCATTTCCTGTAATTAATATATTTAAAATCACCTACAAAATCCATTGCAATACAAATAATTCTATCAAAATTATGAACCTACCGTAAAGAAATATCAAATCAATTTCTTTGTGGACAATAATGCTTATTTTGTCTCATAAAAATATGCGGCTAAATGATGTCTCATAAAAATATGCGGCTAAATGATTTTTTTCTCTTCTTTTTTTTCTACTTTTTTGAGATACCAATTAAACACGGTATATGAAAATCTTTATTACGATATCATTGTTTACCTGCCTCAAGAATTTGCTTTTTTTAAACATTGATGGCATACAAAGTTACCATTTGAAAGTGATTTACACTTACCAACCCAGACATTCTGTTCCGGTGAACCAAAACCATTTTTATATTCCGTCCAGTTCCTGTCAAAGCTTACAGATCCGTATACCCGTTTCTGAATGGCCTTTCAAAATAAACATGCCCTAACAATTCAATCTATTGCTTTGCACCATCATAGGATCCTTATGATATGATATAAACTACAATACTATCCAAAATCCTTTAAACAACAAAAAACAATATAAATTTTATTATGTACTTTTAATTTTGAAATAAATTAGATACCGTCCATCCCCCGCCCATCGTCGTCATGTCACAGAACACACGGACAGGGATGGTTAAGGCACGGTAGGGGTATACATCATATACCCCTGTGCTGCTTTGTCCGTCCTGGTGAAGATCCTTACAATCTCTGGGGAGAACTAAAGCTAAAAAAAAATACAATCTACAGGAATATATATCAAAACTACCACAATCATATTATTAATTACCGTATACAAGACTTAGTATAATGATTATATTCAGAGAGTGAGATGATTATTATTCCAGGACTATATCTTAAGGTTAATTGTACAAGCTAAAATGTAAACTACATGTACAATGCAGATTTTGTGAAACGATTTCTCATATCATAAAAACATTTTTGTTGTTTTTTATATGCTACATATATCTGACTTATGACATGAATCAAAGAAATTAAAATTAAATACAATTATTTTCTATACTATTAATTGGGAAAAATTATTAAAGAGGAATGCATTTGTAGATTACATAATTAAGCCTTTGGACAGTGAAATAGATATTGTGAAATCTAGTAAAATCATGAAATCGCTTTTGTATGATATAATGCATGTAAAATTGAACATTTCGTAAGTTCTATGGTCGATACAATGACCATGTTTTCCAAGACTGGCTATCGTATCATATTCTGACAACTTGAACAGATTATATGGCCTATATTTTCACAATGAATGGTCCTAGATCTTAAAACAAAAAAAAAAAAAAAAAAAAAAAAACGGAAATAACCAGCGAAGAGATAAAAAAAAAATATTAGATTCAATTATGTTGAAAATTCAATTGTTCATACCACATTAAAAGAAGTGACAGAGAAAAAAAAACGGTGTCATCTCAAGAAGGACATCAAAATCCACCACCCTTCAAAAGCAGCGAACAGATAGAAAACTAACAGATATACATACCGCCATCAGAGTAGTATCTCCAACCGGCCTCATCAGACGTCTCAGACGTGAATATTCCGTTGTGGGTACGACATTTCTTTATTTGAGAATTGAAACCAAAGAAGAAGCACTCTCCTAGACACATCGCGGCACACTTGGCCAACGAATGCGTATTATATTCTCCTAAAAGTTTATAATTTGATTTCTTATCATTAAATTCAGGTTTCGCAGTAAAATTCTGAGAAATAATGGTAGCTTCGGATAAAGCTAAGAAACCCACAATTAAGGAGGTAACACACTGACTGCTCATTTTTTTTTATTTTTCAAGAAAAGAGTTACTGCTGAGCTCCTGTGAATCTTTTGCTAAATGGTATTTCAACAGCGAAATATATAATCCACACCTAAATCAATTACTGAAAAGTTATTGGCCGGTTTTTTAAAACTGTCTAGGTATCGATTTTATTGAAGTAAGCATGGATAGACATAATTGTTAACTTTGAAATCATAAATATCGCAATGAATTGTAAGAATGCTGTTTTTAGCATATAAGTCACAGTCAATGTCACAAGGTTTAGTAATTTGAAACATGAAAGAAAGTGACCTTATTTTTGGTATGCATACTATACTCCACTATTTAAGTTCTTTCAAATGTCACCTAGTTCAATGACCTTTTGACCTTGACTGTGAATCATCACGTTTACCATGATTTTAGTTTACACTTTTTTAACGTCTTTTTCTAGTAAATAACCCAAATCTTTACAAATGTGTCATACTCAGTTGTATCTCTTTTATTTGAAACTTATTTTAATCTATTGTATCCACAAATGAATGGAACTACATGTTTTTCTTTATTGATAATGCATCGACGATATATATATATAAGCATTTAGTTGAATGTAACTGAGAGTATCTATTTCTTCTCATGCGAAGTTTTTTATTTAAATTCTGCTTTATTTGAATACAAAAATAAATCTGCTTGTAACGGGGTGTTAGTGATATATATATGAAAATCCAGACAGACTGCTTTAAGTCATGGTCTCCAAAATCTCTTCAAAGTCACCTTCAGAGAAACTTTAATCAGAATAATATTGCAACTGACCAGTGAAACACAGCAAATGTACTAGTTTTATTGAAAGAACAGCTACCAATGATATAAAAATCTGGTTTTTATTTATTCGTTAGGGAATAGTTGCAAAAAGTCTTGAAATGCCCAATGTGTTATATATGTGGCAAAATTTGTAATTTCAAATATTCTTAAAGTTCCATAAAAATTTATGTGTAGATATCTGATTCTCACCACTTCTTGAATATTTTCTTGTACAGTATTATTTTTCTTTTTCACTGCTGTTTATTTTTTTTTTTGTTTATGAGTGAAGAAACTGGAACCCGCTAGTTTATTTCAAAGTTAGGGCTTTTAAATGAAGTTGAGATATCCTGGATGGTAGGTATTGCAATTAAACATAAAAAGTCACTAAAAATATCCACAGAAGAAAGGAATTTTAAGGCACTGGTTTGAATGCCACTTTTAGAATTGAATCTTAGTTTTTCTTCTTCTCTACATTGAAAAAAATATTCAGCCTTACAAATTACAGAAATGCAGATGAATGATCTGTTAGCTCGGAATTATGCAAAAACAATGCATATAATTCTTTTTTTTTTCTCTTCACAGTTACTGTTTATAGAAAGTATAGATGGTATTCATATTGCACCTCCCTATCCCTTATTGCGATGTTTTAACATCCATATAAGATATTTGATCCATTCTGGCTTTGTCAAGGTATTTTTTCATGTTTCTCCCATCACCTGGCTTATTTTTTTAAAACATACAAATGAGTTGAAAGATTGGATTGATTGATTGTATACTGTTTAACGTCCCTCTCCAGAATATTTCATTCATATTGAGACGTAAAGATTGGAGTTGACAGTTTCAGAATAAGTGACTTTGTCATTTATTGTTTGTCTATATTATCTTGTGTTACTTATCACTAGATAAAAGAACTTTAAGACTAACATTAAATTAAAGATCCACAAAAAGGCTTTTTTCACAAACAGCATTAACGATGTAAATATTTTATATATATGTTCCTAGTTGGCGTGACTTGCGATAAACACTCCTGAAAACCGTTAATTATTTATCTTAAACTACTTAACCTAACCGTTTGTGACATTTTATGTTTATTTTAGAAACTTAAAATAAAAAGATGAAATTGCAGAATTAGTCACGTTACACAGACCCCTTAATAAGAGTTTTTAAACTATTCAACCGGATAGCGACGTTTTCACATAACGTTTTATGGAAAAAAAAAATCAAACATTTGGTAATTGGTTTTAAAAATTTAAGTGACGATCCTTTTTCCCTAAACTCATTTAAATTCCCTATGAATTTAAATATGTATGGGAAACCCATTTAAAAGTATTAGTCGAAAAATGATATCTAATATTTTAGCTTCATTTCCTTTGATATTTAGTAGCCAAGTTATCGTTAAGAAATACTACTCCTTTGCTAAAATGTGATGGCAGAATAAATTTATTCTCTTTACGAAAAATGATATATTTTAGAATACTCGTAATTAGTGGTCTTATGGTAATGGAGTGAGACGCTTAAATATTAATGACTGCTTCAATCATTGCATAGAATAGTTATCTTTTTAAGGACTAAGTAGTTCTACGGCGAATTATGGAGAACTTTTTAACAAAACAAAATGCATTTTTACTGTCCAGATTGAACCCATTTCAAATTAAATCATTTAGAGTTAAGAATATTGATAAGATGTCATATTCTTCGCATTTTCCCCCGCCCCTCCCTCATATCGGTAAACTCGTCACTATTATACGAGCTTATGTAGTAAAAATGATATGACTAAACACAATATGACGATAAGGAACATCGCACTATCTGAAAAAAGTCTACAAACAATCCAGATCAGTAGGTGAAGAAAAACATGGATCCCTGGAGTTTCCAGTGCTGGGCCTGGCTAAGATGGAATTAACATTCCCTTTCGATCAATCTCACATTATGTTCTGCATAATCAAGTAGTCATAATTACCAGGATACAAAAATTAATATAAAAACATCTACAGATTTATTGCTTTAACATTTCAGTTATTGACGTCACAGAATAGGCGACATATACATCAACCTAAAAATAAATAATTTATAAAACATTTCTTATCCTAGAGTAAGACTAAGTCTTATACTAAGCGAAAACATTCATTCAAATTAGACATTAATTAATTATGCAGAAAATACAGAGCAAATATTTTTTTTTTTTTAAAATTCATACAATTTATGCTGGATTGTTCTGATATTGATGTTGATTTTCATGTTGCTATACATAAATATGTTTAGTTCCCGGAGGTTAAATCGTGCTTCAAAGACATATATCATACCCTGCTATAGAACCTTCTTGATAGTTTTACTATTTAATGGTTATCTTGAAATATCAAGGAGAAAAACAAATTCAATATATTATTACAATCTAAGAACAAGACGTTTCACTGCATCTTCAATGTTTTATCCTTTTAAAATATATGCTGTGGTTAGTATAATTAAGAAAACGCTTAAAATAGTAATAAAAAAAATCAACAGTATTTTTTAAATAAAGGCACTAGGAAAAAAATTCTAATTTCATGAAACTGCCAAACTTTTTGATTGTGTTGTCAATTGGGAGGATCTCTGTTGTAACCGGAAAACTACTTATTTTTCTGATCTATTGCCTGGTTAACTGGAAAAAAACTAAAACTTAGCTAAAACTTTCGACTTAAGTAACAATATTGATCATAGTACAAACTGTATACATAAACTTGTTTAATTCAAGGAATACATATAACTTTATCTCAAAGGGTTTTCAGTTATTCTCTCTAATCTTTTTTTCTACAGTTACAAAAATATTCCATTTGATGTATTGCGTTAATTGCTTTTAATAAAAATTTAATCAGAATGGAGTGAATATGAAGTTTCTTTTTGTTGACAGTCATCATTTTCCTACTGAGAAATAATTTTTGTTCTAAAAAAATCAAAAGGTGGCATCCTGTTTATATTCCTAGAGATCTTTTGTACAGGATTCGTGAAATACTTTTCAGTCAAATTTATTTGGCAGATTATGTCTTGTGTACTCAGTGTCCCGTTTCCCATAAAAGAAAATTGATTTAGTTTCTTATTAAATAATTTTACTCAAATACGAGTAATAGTTTCACTTATTGATACTCGCAACATTTGTCGCTTATAACAATGTTTTTGTTATTATTCATTTATTTGGTTAAAAAAGGAGGAAAAAGCCCAATTTAGTTTTATTACAGAGGCTCATTTTTACAACACATGCTTGAAATATTGATTAAGTAACTTGATGATGTTGTTACACTATTACTGATGAAAAATTGCTACGAACCTTTAGAGACCAAGGAATCGGATGCAGAATCATATTCATAATGAAGGAAATATATAACTAAGAAAGAACAATACCTGACCTTCATCATCGATTTGGCATTTTCATAATAAAAAGGAAAAAAATATCTGGCTGTTAACCAAGACATTTTAAAATATGTGATTACACGGACATTAAGTGAAAAATCCCTTTGTGTTGATACATGTACACTGTACATTGCACATGCTTGTTCCGAAATAAAATATTTGTTACTACCGATACAAATGATTTATCATATGCTTTAAGAAAGCTTTAATTCAAAAAGTACTCCATAAAATGACAAACTGACTTTTCATTTATATATTCTATAAAGTGTTCACAGATTTAAAAAAAAATCATATAGAAGAGAGAAATGTTCCTCAACTTCTTCATGTATAAAAAAAAATATAATAGACTATGCAATATTCCTTTTTCCAACATTCTTTGCAGTTATGAAAAACTAATGTAGGCCTAGTGAATCTTGCTACGAAGATATGTTTTGCATCCAGAGGGATAGAGAAAGAGAAAAGTGATGCAAAATCAATGTCGATTTGAGGTCGAGTGTGAAAAATCAATCACGTCAAAATTGACGGTGATCATGTGTTGTAGCTATTGAACCTCAAAAATCAAAATATGAAGGCACAATCAAGCCAAAATCTCTCCCAGTGTAAAAATCCATTTGCAATACTCTATGCATTGAAACCCACTGTACATGACATTGTAAATTCATATAAACAGGATCCTCAGTACCCCCTTGCATGTCGTAAAAGGCGACTAAATGAGGCAGTCCTTCGGATGAGACCATATAAACCGAGGCCCTGTGTCACAGCAGGTGCGGCACGACAAAAATCCCTCCCTGCTCAAAGGCAGTATGTGCCGAGCATAGGCCTAAATGGTGACGTCTCCATATCAGTGAAATATTCTGGAGAGGGACGTTAAACAGTATATAGTCAATCAATCAATCATATATACAGGATGGGTAAAAGTCCTTACTTAGCTCTAGGGAATCTCATCAAAATAACTGTATGAGGTAGAAGAGGCAGAAAATGAAAAACAATGACCTTGTCATGAAACTAAACGGCGACAGCATCGGGTGGTCATATAATGTCATTTTTATTTTATAATAATTTGGCAAATTATACACGTATCAAGCTAAAATTTCAACATTTCTTTATTTTTTGTTGTATTATTTTCCTTATTAATTTCAAAAGCACAGACTTCATAGAACTGATTTTTGCCTCAGTCCACGAACTTTTTGATAACCCCTCGTACTATCATATGTTTTAATATTGTAAATCGAAGTTTTTTCTAAAGTGAATCAAAGCATTTCTCAAAGGATTTCAGACTGTTGTTAATATTTTTTGTAATTCGTGAACTTGGCGGTTTTAAGATACCTGTTGGTGTAACATAAAAAGTTCAAATATTTTAAAAATTATGAATGACTAATATAGTCACATGTACTCTTGAAGTTTCTGTCACGTGTGTGATACTGTTCATCATTCTCATCATTGCACTTTTACCTATTTTAGTTTGAATGTTGCTAATAATTCTGGCTGACCATGTCCACCATGTATGACATTTAACTTCACAGAATACCCCCCCCCCCCCCAAAAAAAAAAACCTTTCAGTCCAACGAACAGCGCAGCATTGTTACGGCTTGAAAAGAGGGGCGGGGCCTAATTTATACGGGAAAATTTACTGTGACGTCACACAAAAATATGACTTTTATGTATTTCTCATGATACCTGAAAATGAAATAATTTGCAACTTTTAACTGTATAAGCATAATAAACAACTATACTACTTATCAATGCATAAAAAACTTGCTTGTTAAATCCCAGGTAGCTGGTTATAAACAAAGCACTGATCGCGATGGACTTGTAAAAATGACGTCATTTTGGTAAAAATTACGTATTTCATGTACTATGAGAGGCAGATTGAGGAATTATTTGACACTGAAAAATGCGTTTTATTATTAAAACGGAATACTATTTACAGGTTTTAAATAGTCGATTAATACCAATGTATATCCTTTGTTTAGTGCGATTATTCATTAACTATCAAGAGAATGTATTTTATTAATTGCGTCGTGTTTTTATTTATAGGTTACATATAATTTACAATGAGAGGCCTCATGAAATCGCACTTTCGCAAGGGCGTACACTCAATAAGTCTTAGCCATTTTTTAGAATATAGATAAAGGATAATTATTCACAGAAAAATAATACTTCAGAAAACAGTTCTTTCGCAAGACATATTTTCTTACTCGGTATAAAAACATTAGAATAAAAAAGGAATAACATAACCCCATGGTTGACGGAATTAAAATTGTCTTTTATATCAGAAATGGCTCCTCAGACTGATTGGTCGTCAACAATATGTTGTTTTTTTTGTTTGTTTTTTTAACAATATTCATCACCTGAAAAAAAATTAATATTATTTCAAAAAATTAACATTGCACATTTAATAGCTCATCTAAATTAAATTCTCTCATAGCCTTTTAAAAAATTATTTTGATACTGGAAAATAAATACTGGATATTTAGATTCAGTGACGTCAATAAAAATGGCGGGGGTTTACCTAGTGACGTTTTACCAACATAACTGTCCTTTCACTGATGCCCCATTTGGCACTGTAGGGTACCATGGTGTAACCCAGTGTACCTGGGACCAGGGACCGTTAAGAAAGGCGTCAGCACAGGTGTCATACCACCACCCTCCTTCCCATTAGCTGCACAGTTACCACCAAGTCTGTCATTATCTCTGTCGTGGGTGGAGAAGTACATCCCTGACAGATCTTGGCGTAACATGCTGTTTCCTGAAATACAATACTGTAAATCACTTTTTGTTCGCGAGAACTTTATTTTCGCGTAATTACGCGAGACAGCGTGCTCGCGAAAATTTTATTCTCGCGTATAATAGTATTCCTTAAGATTATATAGGGCAATAACCACAATTCGCGAAAATTTTGTCTCGCTAATCAAGAGTCAATTACTATCTCCCGAAAAAAAGGTGTTGCGAAAATTTAGTGATCTACAGTAATATAATGATAGTAAGAGACACAACATTCATCTCCAGTCAATCTGAATACTACGCTACCATTTCACCGCAAGCACTTTATAGCACGTACAATTTTTTTCTTTTTTAAAACTTAGCGTTAATACTTACGATGTAATTTTCAATAAGATATTTTTTTTAATTTTATGAAATTTAAGCATATATAAAATAGAAGGCAATTGGCATTATATTGATTTCTTTTTTTGATTGATTTAACGCCGAGTCGGCAAGATTTGAGCCATGTTTTGGCAAAATATGCTTTCGATCTTAAAGTTAGCTACTGGTTATGCAGGTTACAAATAATTCTCAGTTTGCGGCATAATCTTGTTTGATTTTAGAACATATAGAATGCATAACCTGAATTTTCAAGTACGAATTCAATGTGTCCGAAAATTGTGAATCGTACCTACAAATGACATCATGGAAATATTTAAAACCTTAACTTAGCATGGAATCAGACAGGTTTACAGAATAGTAAAAAAAAACATTCATCAATGACTCTATTTACAACAAACTAATAATCTTTTAATGAAAATAAGTTTATAATAATACACATAATCTGTGTCCAGTTAATAAAAAACATGCATGAATACATTTACCTAAGGTTCCCTCGACAGGTCTTGCAAGAAAGAGTTTATATTTTCCTGCTTCGTTAGAGACAGAAAATCGGTCGTACATTTCATTCAGCATTGTACCATTCCGGAGAGTGATGGAAACATAAAGGGATGAGGTGTTTTCTTTTGTTAACTGGTGGATCACTTCATTTACTGTATTTAGAATAAAATCATTGAATACAATTAATTTCTTTTTGAATATAATTTTACCTTAACAACAACCAAATGAGTTTCCTGTTTTAAGCTCGATTAAAAATCAACAATTATGTTTTTTATTACTAATCTTATGTAGAAATAGCCCAATGAAGAAATATTTTAAAATCTGAAGGTTTTTTGTTAAATACTTCGTTTAAAACTATATTAAAATATGATTTTAAATTACGTAAATGTCTATATCATTCTATTATCTGCACCTACATCATACTTTATTTATGTAAATTATTTTAGGTCATTAAAGTTCGGTAAGTCTTTAAATTTATATTCTTTTATGTCTTATCTTTTTTATTTTGATAAGAATAAATGTATTTTTCTGTAATCTTACTTAATAATCTCACCGGAAGCTTACTGAAAACACAGCTAGAACAAGTAAAGTATTGTACATATATTACTCGTGCATCAGTTAGGTTTTTTTAAACTGCATCCAAGGTTCATTTTTTTAAAGATCTTTGGTTAAACTTTTAAATAAACAAAGGTCAGATATTGGTTCATATTTACCAATCCAAACTTCCTGTTCCGGTTCCCCAAAACCATTTTTGTAGTCCGTCCAGTTCCTGTCAAAGCTGACGGACCCATCGATTCGATTTTGGATTGCCTTGGAAAGATGTATATGTAATGGATATGTGCTGAATACTATAACATATGTAAAGTAATCAGACTGTTTGAGGCCCGTTAAGGCCGAAAACTGTCTGATAAATTAACATATAGAATAGTATGAAGCATATGTCTTACTTAAAATATTGCCATTCAAATGTCTAAAAATTACCTGGAAGAGTCCGATAATAACATTATAGGAATTCAGGCATCAATTGTTTTTTTTTTTTGCCTGTCTAATATGTAGATAAAACAAATGAGATAGTAAAACCAGTGAAGGAACACAATTCATTTCATTCATTCAATGAAAGTCATTAGTTAAGCAGTACAGGGGTCCAGTGGTGAATGACTTCCATTTTTTTTACATTTTTATTTATTTTGTGCGTTAATTGAAATTGTTACAGATTTCATTTTTGGCTATATTATTACCATCTCCAAGGAAAGTAAAAATTGGGATTTTCTTCCTAGAGTTTATGTATATATAATGGACATTCTTAGGTTTTTTTATAAGTGCAGCGAACTGGAAACAATCTTTATAAAATTTATTTTTGCCGATTATTTCTCAGAAATGGATTGAATTCGCTTATTCAAAGTGCTGTATCTAATACTTTGAAAAGGTGTGAAGTATTAATTTTGAGGAAGGTTTTAACTCGATTTGTTCATGGATTCGCTATTATGTAGCAACTTTATTTATTGGCGATTGCATTTCATGATTTTTTTTACCTAATATTATTATTGATTACCATTTTTTTTTTGGTTTTGAACATATTTAACTTTTATTTCACCTTTCTTTTAGTTTTTTAAATATCGGCCTATTTTGTTATCATTGCCGTCCGATAATATATTATCAAACTGGTAGTTATTAGTTTCGGACGGCTACGGTAAATTTTTAGACTGCAAGAACAAAAGCATGGCGTCACAGCAATGTTTTAAATATTTTTATCAGACTTGTTTGCTGGCTGTTTAAATTACTGTAAAGGGGGATATTTTTGCTCCGCTCTCTCACACACGCAAACAATTTTGCTCTGTTTTAAATTTGCCCAGTCACAGAATTGTTGAAAAAAAATATATTACTTACTTGGGAATGGCTCTTTTTTTAATTTGCCCAAAAGAAGTTATGGTGAAAGGGGAGAAAATAAAACAGTAATTATGATATAATTGTTGGGGGACAAAAATTTAACAATTTATATGGACGACCCACTGATAGATTTAAGAATGAAGTTTTGAAATACTGACTTAAAATGATGCTAAGAAGCCCTGTAATATCACCTGTTTGTCAGAATAGTATTCTGCTCTTGCGTAATGCGTAGGTTTGGGATGTAAAAGCACCATATGCAGGTGTTAGCAGAATTTCAAATAATAAATAAGGGAAAACAAAGATGGAATAGACACGCAAAAATTATCACAATGTCAACCAAATACATCAAAAAGCCCGGATTTAAACATTCGAAACTTACCGTCCAACCGCCGCCCATTATATCCATGTTACATTTAACTTTGACCGGAATGGACTTTATCCCGAATGGGTAAATATCGTACAGGCCCGATTTGTCATAACCATTGTCATGAAGGTCCTAACAATCTGAAGGGAGAACTTAAGAGCAAAAGTGAAAAATGATATAGGTTTAGTACTTATAGAATACAAAAGAAGAAATACAGAACAAAAGTGAGAATTATATAGGATTAGGACTTACACAATATATAGGGAGAACCTAAATGAAATCTGAGAATTATTTAGAGGATCAGGACTTACAAAATATAAAGGAAAAACTATAGAACAAAAATAAGAATTATATATACAGTTAGGATTTAACCACCTTCCCCGCAGTCACGTATTTTAACGCATATACCATTTCCTATATATAACGCAAAATCACGCATTTACCGTTTCCCCGCAATCACGCATTTTCACGCACTTTAAAATGTTCAATAAATCTTCAATTTATTGCCAAATTCCAACTATTTTATACTTGCTTAAATCTAATAAAATAAGAAAAGTTATTTTCTGACTAAAATATTACGTCATGATATTATTTACGCTAAACATTGGAGAAACTTGATCCCCGTTAGAAAGTGCTTGCGGGGGAATGACAACGTAATATTTCTATGCCGTGAGGATTCAATGTATGTTGCTCAACAATTCTGTAAGTTGTAAAGAGTTAAACTTACATAATATAAAGGAAAAAAGTAAATAACAAAATTGAGAATTATAAAGGATTAGCACTTACATGATATAAAGGAAGAACTTAAGAACAAAACTGCAAGTTATAAAGGATTAAGCTTTATAGAATATGAAGGAAGAACTAAAGACCAAAAGTGGTACATGTATTTACATAGTATTAGCACTTACATTATATAAGGAAAAAAAAAACTTTAATCAAAACAGAAAATTATTAAGGATTCAAGCTTAACTCTTCACAGTACAAAGCCCAGGACTCTAATAATATAATAAGAATAAACAATCGAAATAACGTAAGATAAATCTTTTTAACCTGCACAAAGTGTAAGGGAGATTAATAATAAAAACTGATACATACAATCCGGGAAGTAATATCGACATCCTGCTCGGTCCGAAATTCCGGAAGTGAACGTCTTTTTGTGGGTCCTGCACTTCATTAGCGTAGGATTGTACCCGAAGAAACCACAATCTTTGTGACAGGTGGCAGCACACTCACTTAAAGAATGGGCCTCGTGTTGTCCTATAAGTTCCTCAATGGACTCCTTGTTATCGAGTTTCAGTTTCGCGATATATCTGCCGGAGAACTTGACAGCACAAGAAACTGGAAAGAGAAAGACAATCAAACAAACAATATGAAGATTGCTCATATTGGTGTCTTTATGTGTATTTAGAGTGTTTCTGTAAGAGTTTACAAATTTATTCCGTCGACTGTCGAGTGTAAATATCAAATAATTATCAATTCCTGAAAACGGTTGGCCTGTAATATGTATTTATTATTTCTGAAATATTGATTATGTTTAATTCCAGGAATTAATGCAGTGGTCGTATTTACTTACATGTAACTAATGAAATGATTTTTTTTCATTGCGTATTTCATAATTTCCACGTACAATCAAGGTTTTAATTAAAAAAGAAATGCTCAAAATTTATCATCGATAATCTTTTCTTTTAATCTTAAGTTTAGGCAATCTTATATTAACGTTATCAAAGTATGGCAAGTTTTGAATACTTCTAGTTGAATTGCTTTCACAAAGTCAATTCTTAAGATTACTGATTAAACTTCGGAGAAAATAAAAACATAGAGACGCCAATGCATATTTCAAAACGACGTAAACATTTTACCAAAGTGTCATGCGTGAAAAAGAGATTA